AATATGGTAAATGGAGTATATATTGTGTGGCAGAACTATTTTGTAAGTGTTATCAGAAAAAAAACTTGGATAGATACAGTGAAAGTATGTATTGTGTGGCAGAACTATTTTGTAAGTGTTATCAGAAAAAAAACTTGGATAGATACAGTGAAAGTATGTATTGTGTGGCAGAACTATTGTGTAAGTGTTATCAGAAAAAAAAACTTGGATAGATACACTGAAAGTATATATTGTGTGGCAGAACTATTTTGTAAGTGTTATCAGAAAAAAAAACTTGGATAGATACAGTGAAAGTATTTATTGTGTGGCAGAACTATTTTGAAAGTGTTATCAGAACAAAAAACTTGGATAGATACAGTGAAAGTATATATTGTGTGGCAGAACTATTTTGTAAGTGTTATCAGAAAAAAAAAACTTGGATAGATACAGTGAAAGTATGTATTGTGTGGCAGAACTATTTTGTAAGTGTTATCAGAAAAAAAAACTTGGATAGATACAGTGAAAGTATATATTGTGTGGCAGAACTATTTTGTAAGTGTTATCAGAAAAAAAAACTTGGATAGATACAGTGAAAGTATGTATTGTGTGGCAGAACTATTTTGAAAGTGTTATCGGAACAAGACTGGGATAAATACAGTGAAAATGAACTGTATTTATTCACGATGTCGTGAAAAAACATTCGGTGAAAACTGTTTATGAGAATAAAGTAGATGAACATTTAATTTTACTGCAACTAAACTCGATTAATCATGTTTGTTCAACCTATTAAGGTACAGTTGTGTAAAGTGCCATTTTTACCCTGAAAAGTAGTGATAATTGTATTATTTTCTTTATCAAACAGTTTAAAACATATCTAAGGACAGTTTAATGGTGATTTACGGACATACACTGCTTTAATAATCAAGTTTCCTTTTAGTTTAAATAACAGATTATTAGTAAACAGGACAATACAATGTACCTGAACAACAAAGTTTATTACACACTGAGATCGCCATTCGATATATGTTGTCATTAAACAATAACTCTATAAAAAAACCTACTTTAAATTTCTTAAAATCAGTACATTATTGTTGAAATTATATCAAACTTTTAGTCTCTACTAAAGTTTCATTCAAAAAATTCTTAAGCTTCGTAATATTTATTTTTTTGCTAAAATTATTAACTTCCGATTGTAATTCTGTTGTGTTTGGTAATGCTTACTTTCATATAAAACCAGAATGATTGATTGAGTCTGTTCTAGTGATTTTTGCTGCTATTCCCCAATCTATCCAACAAAAATACTGCTGTTGAATGTGAGTACCTCAGATTTAATTCTTTCCTTGGGACTTTTGATCATATCGAATAACTTTTTAAAAGAAGCAAATAATGTTCGTAAAAGGCGAATTCCCAATTAACATGTCAGTGCCTGTGTAATGAATGATTCCCTAATAGTCCCCAAGTATCTACGATGTTATTCCTACTATGTCATCAATTATCCGAAATGACACTAGGATATTTAGCTCTCGTTTACATCAAAAGCAGTTTTTTGCTGTATGTGGTGCGAATCATCCTCCGGTGTCAAATTTGTACCTTTAGAGATAACGTGAAAACAAATTACTCGATTAGTTCAAAATTTCACACCCTCTTTGGTTTTCCGATCACGCCGAGGCTACCAAACTTTTAACTACACTAATACAGCCGAGAAGCGTTATGTTAGAAACATATCAAACATTTAAAACGTCTAACGTTTAAAGAATAATTATCAGATCAACTTCAAACACGCAGTAAAACATTATGTATTTTAAGAATTATGTTGGTTAAAAAAAGTTCAAGTAATATTTTAAATTTGTCTTAGTTTTACATATTCAAATATCATACCATAGCTACTCATTTTTAATGATCCAACTATTATACCTTACTTGCATTCACTGCGATCTTTCACACACCTTGTCGTGCCAAGCGACCTTTCACACACCTTGTCGTGTCAAAATGCAAAATATTAAGCAGGTTTCATAAGATGGTTATGATAGTTTTCATTATAAGTTGGCCTAGCATGGCCATGTGGTCACGTTCCTTGACTCACAATCTGAGGGTTGCGGGTTCGAATCTTCACCTCCACAAATATTCTCGCCTTTTCAGCCGTGGGGTGTTATAATGTTCGATCAATCCCACTATTCGTTAGTAGCATAAGAGTTGGCGGTTGGTGGTGATGACTAGCTGTCTTCCCTCTAGTCTTTCACTGCTAAATTAGGGGAAGGCTAGTGCATATAGCCCTCGTGTAGCTTTGCGCGAAATTCAAACCAATCAAACAAACACATTTTTACAAGTTATTTGTTTCCCAGGTATTGCGATATCGGCTCACAACGAGATGTATATAGCAGATGGGACAAACATTCGAGTAGTGGACAAAGCTGGAATCATTCATACCCTTGTAGGAGATCATTACCACAAAAGCCACTGGAAACCAATTCCTTGCAGTGGAACAGTAAAACTTAACCAGGTATGATATGTTTTATAAATATGTCTTGCTATTCGTACATTTGAGAAATTCCTGCTTATTTGAGATTACTGATGATTGTTGGTCGATGTCTGCGTTGTATCATTATTTTGTTTTTTTACTTTTGCTGCAAAAGTGTATTCTAAGATACTATGAAATGACACATATAGTAATTATTTATACATTTAAAGGTCTAACTCAGAAAATGTCTTTCTATAAAAGCAGTTACAACTTGTATTAGAAAGTTGATATGAGAGGAAAATTTAATATCTACAATTGCTTTTCCTGCTTACAAAATGTGTGTGAACATGAAACCAGTTATGCAACCAATTTTTACTAAAAACATGTTTACAAGTATAGTTGAAGTGTTAACTTACAAGTTAGAAGATAAGCTGTTATAGAAACATCTGTGGAGCAATAATAGGATACTGCTAAATTTATTATGTTTTTAATTTGTCAGTAATGATATATTTACCATTATTTCATTTATCTTGCGTTCTTATTTGTTTAGGAGGTTCTGAGAGTGAATCTAAGCTTATTACTCTTCTTTAGGTGAATCTTCGTTGGCCTACAGAACTATCACTTAATCCTTTTGACAGTTCTTTACATATACTGGATGATCATATGGTACTTAAGATAACTCAAGATAAGCGGTTGAAAGTTGTGGCTGGTCGACCTCTTCATTGCCCATCTCCAACACCTTTTCGAGAAAGAAGTGACATTGCTACTGAGATTTATTTAGAATCTCCTCAAGGAATTGCTTTCGCTCCAAATGGAGATTTGTATATCGCCGAAAGTGATTCGTTAATGGTTAACAGGGTTCGTGTTGTTGGCAGCGATGGAAGAATATCCCACTTTGCTGGAGCAGAATCAAAATGCAGTTGCTTAGAGGTGAACTGTAAATGCTTTGATGAGTATCATTTTCTTGCGACAACATCCAAGTTTAACACCATCTCCTCCATAGCAGTGACACCAGATGGAGTTCTCCACATATCTGACCAAGGAAACCAGCGGATTCGATCTGTCTCAGCATCTCTTCCTCAACCTAATAACTTCCAAGAATATGAAATATATTATCCTCAAACACAAGAAATATACTTTTTTAACAGACACGGGCAGCATATTGCAACTAAGAATATTTTAACTGGCAAGACAGTGTATACATTTTCTTATAATGTGAATACTAGTTTTGGCAAACTAAGTACTGTAACTGATGCAGCTGGTAACAAGATCTACATATTAAGAGACTACAGCAATCAGGTGAATACAATTGAAAATACCCAGGGTGGAAAATGTAGATTAGAAATGTCGCGAATGAGAATGCTTGAGAGCTTCACTACCCCAGACAACTTCAAGACAATGTTTGACTACCACGGGAGTACTGGGCTGTTGACAAGCAAGATTGATAGTTCCGGAAGAGCCTACATTTACAGTTATGATGATTACGGCCGACTAACTGAGGCAGTTACACCTAGCGGTGAAAACATTAAATTGTCTTATAACCTCAGCATCAAAGGCGCTTCAGTTACTGTAATCCGTGATGATATGGATCCGGTATCACTTATTATTAAAGGATCGGACGTTGTGACGAAAATAGGTATGACTTCAAACCTAAGTAATTAAGGAAAAAAGTAGTCTCCATTTCTTCAATATTTTTTATATAATTTTATTGAATTCCCGATATCAACTTATAATTGTTTTACTACTTTTGTATTTGAAATTGATTTAATTATAAAATATTTGGATAAAGTAACTATACTTAGGACAGATTATAGGAAGACTGAAACATGAAATTCATAACCGTGAGCTTCCTGTTCCAATTATTGAGCTTTTTTAAATATATTTCTATTTATTCAGATTACTTAGGCTTACTGTAATTATAAATGATATCAAACTGTGTCACATGCTGTTGAATGATAACAATTTTTCACTATTCGTCTTTGTGTTCGTAATGAAACAACAGATCGTTATTTAACATCCATATAATAATTTACATTATACGTAGTATGTCTTTCCATCTCAACAATTTTTGTCACAAATTATTAAGGCGAAGCGTGGTCCAATGGATAACCTGCCGGACTGTGGAGCTGCACCTAAGGTTTCGTAGTTTGTGTCCCGTTGCCGCCAAAACAAAATCTCATTTCGCACATTGGGACCGTGGGTGCGTGATAGGAGTGGCAATTAAATCCCACTGTTCAGTCTAACAAGAGTAGGTGGGTGGAGGTTTGACAAGCAGTCTTCCCTCTAGTCTATCACCTCAAAATTGTGCACATTGGGACCGTGGGTGATAGGAGTGGCAATTAAATCCCACTGTTCAGTCTAACAAGAGTAGGTTGGTGGAGGTTTGACAAGCAGCCTTCCCTCTAGTCTATCACCTCAAAATTGTGCACATTGGGACCGTGGGTGCGTGATAAAGGAGTGGCCATTAAATCCCACTGTTCAGTCTAACAAGAGTAGGTGGGTGGAGGTTTGACAAGCAGTCTTCCCTCTAGTCTATATAGTACTCGAGTACTGAGTTTTGCGCAAAATTCAACAAAAATAAGCATACGTTTTTATAGACAAGAGTTTTCTTTACAATCTGAATATCAATCTAAATATATCCACTAATGTACTATTTCATGCAATAATGTAATTAAAAATAAGATATTGTGCAAAAATATAACTGAAACCTAATTCCATGCATATTACATCTTTCAGAAAGGAATGTGAGTGTTTTTTGAAGATATTTGATAAACTCGCTAATGTAAGTAAAAAAAAAAAAAAAGGACCAAGCCTGAAAAGTAGCCAGAAAATAATCACGGGGAATTATTCACTCTCGTAAAAAAAGAACTATAAATTTTAGGTCATGTAATCCTAATTCCAAGTACTGTGAGAAAACAAATATTTTATAAGTAACATCAAAACAGAGCAGCATTCAAGAACCACATTCCATTCTGCTGTTAAGAGCCAGCAAGAAATACGACCGAATATCGTGAAAAGTTACATGCGCTAACAGTCTTTAAGCAAATTCATGTATCGAATACTTCATCAGTCACGTATTAATAATTACTTGATCCACTTATGTTGACAGTTATCAGATATAACAAGTATTTGTCATCTATCAGTAACGGAATAGCAAGGTGTTACATACGCTCATATTTACTAAGCAAAAGTGACCCCCTACTAGGCGTATTTTAAGTATTATTTGTCAATAAAATATTCAGTAACTTAATTCACTTAATACAGCTTATTTTATAACATCCCTCAAAATTTCTTACTCTCAGCAACTGGAACAATACAATCGGTGTTGAAATGTGTACTTTGTCTTCAGACCCATACTTGTTATTTTCTTGGAGCTAGTTGAAGCTGCTTTCGTGGCTTCACAAAAGAAAGTGTTGAAGGGCTTTACTTCCAGAAAAATGGTTTCTTATATTTTTGCAGAGAAATAATGTCTTACTATCTCAACGTTTCCAAAGTACTCATCCTATGAAAGAGCAAACTGCACGAACTCCACAGATAATGTCTATAGTCTTAGCACAGCAGAACCAGCATGACCAATATTCAGACTATTTTTTGTATCGAAGTTTAGCAGCTCTATCACCTTGTAATCTCTTTTCTCTCAAATTCGCTTATCTCACGACATTTTGACATATTGCACACACTTTGAAACTATTGATCTGCTTATCTGGTATATTAAAACTTACCTAGTTTCGTGGAAGAATATACTGGGTAGACCATGCCACATGTTTCAGGGGTGTCCCAACACACTAAGTTGAGCAGTGATTATTTGTTTCATATGTTTTAGGTGTAGAATTTGGATGAAGTACGCCATTTAAACAATAAATATGACGAAGATCAACATAGATTCTTGCATCGAGCAACTTTTTAACTGTTTAGTTTAGCTACTTTGGTAACACTGGAACTGTGCTGTATTTATGACCAGGGGTTTTATAAAATTCATTGCTTTAAAAGGAATTGTGTAAGGTAAACTTTGAGTAAATATTTCAAGTAATGAATAATTAATTTTTCTCCTTTGAAAGTTTTCACAAATATGTCAACTATCCTTAAACAAAATCTTTACTTGTTCAGATAAGTTTAAAACTACAAATTTCTGTTCAAACAAGATTTTTATTCCCTGATGTTTCGGTTTCTGTACTCAGTCAGCCCCTGTGGCTCAGCGGTAAATTTGAAGGCTTACACCGCTAAAAACTGGGTTTCGATACACGTGGTTGGCACAGTACAGATATGAAACTTTATGTTACAATTATGTACATTTTGTCACTTTGTGCTTAAGAATAAACAAACAAACTATGTTAATCATTTTGATAAATGTGTGTCACAGAAACATCTGGGAATAAAATATTGTTCTTGTTATTTAATGCCAGAAAACATATTTCAACATTACAAAATGCTTTCATTACGAAATGCTCTCTCTCTCTCTCCAACTTTTTATTGCAAATGTTGTCGAAGGTATTTGAAAATTGGCTTACTACAAAGAATAATTAATGAAAACAGTTATTCGCTAGATTGCTATAAGGGCAGCAATTTGGAAATTGTTTGCATGATACATCTTGATTTTTTATACATATCTACGCAAATATTCAAAGAAATAAATTCTAATTTTGAACAAACAAATTATAGTCGTTTTCTTGTTTACAGGTGACACTGAGGATCGAATTATTCGACACCCAGATGGTAGTCTTATGATGATGTCGAAAGATTCCAGTACTACAGAAATAGAAACTGTACCTCACCCTGTTCTTTCAGAAAAGAGCCCTCTGTTGGCAGAAATTTTCCCTGTCCCAGCCCGGTTAAAAACGTCTCTACGTGATGACCTGTTTCAGAGATTTGAATGGCGTTATTACCTTCGTAGAGAAGGCAAAGGATGGGACCGAAAAATAATGCAGATTGGCCGAAAAATTAAGGTACCGATTCCATTTCTCAGTCAAAAGTGTGGATGTTTTCTCGTAGGTCATGCGACTGACAGTAACTATGTTCCTTTTCCCAAAAAATGTTGCGTACATAATACTAGGATATTAAAAAACATATTCAATTAAAAGTAGATCGAAATAAGCTACAATTTATTTTTAGTTTGTTGTTAACGGTTTTCCATATTTGAAAAGTAACGATCATTTCCAACTTTGGCTCCCTAGGGAGATACTAGAATAGTAACAGAAAAGGTGAAACATTCGCATTTGACATGTAGCAAGTGAGTCGACGTTTCTTTCAAAAGACATATGTGAGAACTTCTGACAAAACAACCAGCTGTTTTCAAGCTTTTCACATTACACTTCTCTGTGAATATTATTCCAGCTTTGTGTTATAATGTTAATTTTGTTGCTTCTATTGAGAAGTCAACCAAAACAGGAAAGAAACAATGGTCACAAACTTAGTAGAATTCGTAGAACGATATGAGAGACAGCACCTGTGTTAGATTCCTCCCCTAAAATAAATTGACAATTTTATTATACAAATTAAGTTTCTAATTTTGTAAAATATATGTATTTTTTATCTTTATAACTTTTCCTCAGAAAAAAAGAACGATTACTACATTTGAATATGTGTTTAAAAACAATATTATTATGTATTAGGTCGTCAAGAAATTAATGTCGCTTTTTTAAAGAAAAACCCGAACAACTTATATATCAAAACAAAACATTTTTATTAAATGAAATAGTCTCCATTCTTACAGATGATGCTTT